CAGTCCCCTTGATCTATCTGGTCATTACACATTGTATGCATGTCTTTAAACACAACATTATGCCCTATCCATATGCACAGTTACTATTTATCAATTAAAACATGTTAATAAAAACACGAATAGTAAATTATCGTATGACAGGAAGTAAAGAGAATTTAGAACATTTTAATTTCCTGTGAAAGGGTACACATTAGCACTTAATCCAGCTCCCTTTCCTCCAGTCCAGAGCTGCCTCTGACTTTCTACCATGGCAGATCTGCCTGACGCAAACATTTCATATGTAGAGAGCTATACATGTGGAGGGGGCTTCTTTCACTGAGCGTGATGCTTTTCAGGTTTCAGTCAAGGTAGAGCATATATCAGCACTTTATTCATGAATATTATTCCACTGTATTGATACATCACCAAATTTTTTTTGTGGCTGGCGTGGTGGTGCACGCCTCTAACCCTAGCACTCAGAAGGCTGAGGCAGGAGGATTGCTGTGTTTTCGAGACCAGCCTGGGGTGGTCTGGGGTGAAATGATATCTCATCGTAGTTTTATTTTGTGTGTGTGGGTTTTGTTTTTTGTTTTTGTTTTTGTTTTTTTGTACTGGGGATCAAACTCGGGATCTTGTGCTTGCAAAGCAGGCAGCAGAACCACTGAGCTAAACCACTGGCCCATCTCATTGTAGTTTTGATTTGCATTTCCCACATGGCTGATGATGCTGAACATTTTCTCATAAGCTTACTGGTCATTTGTGTATCTCCTCTGGGGAAGTGTTTATTCAAATTCTTTGTCTATTTTAAAGAGGAGTTATTTATCTTTATATTATGGAGTTGTGTGAATTCTTTGTATATTCTGAATATAAGTCCTTTATCTGAGATATGACTTATAAATGTGTTCTTCCATTCTGTGGATTTTTAGTTTACTTTGTTAATATTGTTTGTAACTCCAAAGGTTTTAATTTTGTGTTAGTTTATCACTTTTTTTGTCGCTTGTACTTTTGATATTGTATAAAAGAACTGCATAGTCCAAGATCAGGGAAACTTACTCTGATGTTTTCTTCTAGGAGGTTTATGGTTTTAGCTCTTACAAGGTTTAGATTCATTCTGAGTTAGTGTTACACATCTTATGAGGTAGGGGTCTAACCTCCTTGTTTTGCACATGGATATTCAGTTATAATACCGTTTGTTAAATAGTGTGCAGGTTTTATGTCTTTGAGATGGTGAACGAACTGAGGCTGGAAGGTAGGAAGGGCTACAGTGTCTAGGGGTGCGTGTTGAGTTCGGATCACATCATGAGAGGGAATGGGAACCTGGAAGGATCCTAAGTCGGGAGTTGCACAGTCAGTTTAATTTTTGAAACATGTCACTGACAGGCAGTAGTCTGGAGAACAGTAGAAGGCCGTTTCAGGACATCAGATAGGGCTTGGCAGTATGGGGTGTAGGGATGGGTGTAGGAGAGACTCAAAAGGTAGATGGTAAGGAGCCTGGGCTTCCGGTGGGAGGTGCTGGTAAAATGTTGGGGCCAGTAATGGAAGACGGCACATTGATTCAGGGGCACACGGGCACTGAGGTGGAGACTCTCAGAGAAAGCACACTGGTGGCTTTGGAGGGAGGCTTGTGCTGAGTCTTGGGAAATGCATGTGATGCTGCCCCTTGTCTCCAGACTCCACCCTCGGGGAGGTTCCACGGTGTTCCTCTCTCCCACTCCTACCCCAGAGACGAAAATCTGAGAGGAATTTAAATCCGTTAGAAAGGAAAACTACCCGAGAGCAGCAAGATTTGGAGGCAGTGAGAGACAGGTGCTATAAAGGCCTGAGGAGTTAGAGAAGAGCAAGAGAAAGAGCAGGAAAGGGGGATCCTGGAAGCAAGGAACACAAGGGGGCATAGGATCAGATGTGCAGAGACCAGCTGTGCTGATGACGGCCCTGGGTTTGACCGTAGGATGTGCCGAGGCGGAGCTGCCTGTCTGGTCGGGGGCTGAGTCAGGTTGCAGGGACAGCACATAGAGGGGATGTGTAATTGTCCTTAAATATTAAATGTTCTCTTTTTGTTACACTTTGGATGTCTTCTGGGTGCAACTGATAGAAACCCCTGCTCAAACAGACTTAAACAAAAAAGGGGAATTTATAGGCTCAAATAATGGAAAAGTACAGAAGAATAGAGCATAGCTTGATCTGCAGGTTGACGTGACATGGAGACCTGGTCTTGTCTGTGTCCCAGCCCTCTCCCCGTTGTTGGCTTCCTGCTCCAGCTCAGTGCCAGACCCTTCCAAGTTTTCGTCCTTCCAGAGTGAAGTTCAGCAGAAGTGAGAGTTGGTCTCTGTTGTAGATCCAGGACTTGTATTTGGATCTATTTGAATTTTGTGAGCAAACCTGAAGTAGGAGTTAGTGGGGGGAAGGGAGCTGCAGTTACTCTGATAGCCAGACACGGGGATTGTTCCAGTTCCAGCCCAGTCATCACGGCAGGCAGAACTCAGCGCTCAGATCAGTTGGGCTCCTCACTCTGGATGGAGAAGTAGAAACTCAGCTGCGCCACTTGGACCACGTGTGAGAGAGGGTAGTTCTCAACTAAAGTCAAGTGCTACTCCCAGAAAACTGGAATGCGTATTCCTGGCTAGAGAGACAGTGGCCGCTAGAACTGTGGAACACAGCACCAGGGTCACTGTGTGAGAATTACTGGGCTCCTTGCAGCCCTGCTCACACAGAAGGAGCTTTTGGTGGAGAAGAACAATGAACTAAGCCAGTGGTTGATGTAGCCAGCTGACCATCACTGGGGGTATCCAAGCAACTACCGGAATAAATGACAGCAGCCCAGCAGAACCAGAAGGGAGCCTGAAATCCCTACATCGTTCTTCTTGACACAGTAAGGCATACGTTTCTACATTAAGACCCATTATACCTTCTTGTTGTTTTTTTCTGTCTTTCTTGAGTAGCCCAGGCTGGCCTTGAACTCATGATCCTGCTGCCTCAGTTTCCCAATTATGAGCTAGGATTATGAGCATGTGCCACAGGGTTGGCTCCTACTGTACTCTTACATGTTTACCTCAACCCTCAAGCCAAAGTTTCAGGAAATGGTATGTTTATATCTTCTGTTTTTACTTAAAAAGGGGAATCAGTGACATCACACTGATTTCTTTTCATGTCTGTACTGGGCCTTGACCTGCACTTTCTAAAATGCTGCTTTGAGGTCCCATGTTTTGATAACGTGTGTCTCACATGGACAAGGCTTGAAGATGATATGTGGCTCTGGATTTCCACTCCAGCGGGTGGCACAGGTCAAAAATGAGGAAACAAAACCTTTTCTAAGTGTGAGAGCTTCTGGCTGTAGGTGGAGGAATTGTCCTGCCACGGGTCAGAGCTGCTCCTGAGCTGCCGGGCTGCGGTGGCTCCTTGCGGGCTGGTCGTGGGTGTGGGAGAGCAGAGACGGCCACAGTGTGTCTGTCCGCGGGCTGACAGTGGTTCACGTTTCGAGGGAGAGCATGTGAGTTCTCTGCCAGGCCTTCATACTGAGGATGAGGGAGTGGATTTTAAAAATAATTCAGTTTTGACTTGAAGCAAGTCAAGGCAGCAAGTAGAGACAATTAGAGACTGACATCCTGTTTAGTCATCTCTCCTGAGAGCTCTATTTTCAGAACTGCTCTAAAAAGGTTCACAAGTGGTGTCAGATAGCTAAGGGGATGCTGGAGGCTAGCATTCATCATGATGCAACTCGCTGAGGCGAGCACAGAGGTGTTGTAAAGTGTGGTTACCTCACTGAGAACGGATTTATGCAGAAAAAGTAGAGTTGTAAGAACAGGATGTCACAGTGTATAGGTAACGCTTTCTGAGCCTCTGCAAAGCAGTCCTCTTTTATTTTGGAAAGTATGTAATCAGATGTGGTATTAGAAGAAAATGCGATGGTGACATGGTGTAAGGCCACTGCATTGGGGGCTTTGTTTTCCTGTGGGCACAGTAGAAACAGCAAATCGTGCTGCTGAGGTTCTTCCAGGCTGTCATAAAAGCCTGGCCAGAAGTGCTGAATGGTGGCACCGCTGAGTCTCAGAGGACAGGGAGGCTCGGTGGACTTCCCATCCGGTGCCAGCTACAGTAGAGAAAGACAGGCACCTACAGCCTGCAAAAGGTGTGCACGTTTTACTGTACCGTGTACGTGTGACCTACACTCTTGTGCACCAGGTGACCATTCGTATCTCTACCTAGCTTCTGTGACCTCCCTCTTCAGGGAAAGGTCAGAGGCAGAAATAGAGCCGTGGGCTGAACCTGACAAGGTTATTTTAAGATAATTGGAATGCATGTGTCTGAGTGTACAAGCACCCCACACGGAGAGGCATTGAGGCGTTTGTGATACTGAGGTTGGCATCCAGGAAGGTGGAGCCCGTCACCTGGGTGCTCTTCACGCCTGAGGCCCTTGCTGTGGACTTGCTGGGGAAGAGGTTGTGTGCCTGGCTTGCCAAGAGAATGTCTTGCTATTTCAGCGATAGCTGACTTCAAAGGAGCTGGGTACTCCCTTGAATAGTTGAGAGTAATGCAGAGGCCTTGAACGTCCTTCTCTAGTCCTTTAATACTGTCTAGGCTTGGGTGAAAGCATAGGTGGAATTTCTTTGGAAGATTCCCAGTCGGTCACGCCACATTGGTTCATTACCGATATCTTGCTGTTACTCTCTGCCTTAGATACTACTTGCCATGGGTTTAATAAGATGCTGCTCTAAGTAGTGGTATGTTTGAGGTATGGATGTCTCAGAAACCATTAACAAGTGTATAAATGCTTCTCTGTATCATGAAGAGCCCAAAACGGAAGAGAATGAAATTCAAGAGGAAGAATGCTTTGAGAAAAAGTTTATTTTAGATTTAATTTTCGACCTTTATAACTTCATGTGGTTTGCTTCAACCATAAAATGAAAGATGTAGATTTGATTCATGGCTGTGATATATCCATTGAGGCCTTGCTAAAGAATTAAGACCTATAAAAATACTTTAATATTTGAATAGAGCATGACTTTTTTTGTGTCTTTTCCTAGGTGGATCTGGAGCCCGAAGGGAAAGTGTTTGTGGGAATCACTCTGACAGGGAGTTTCACTGAAGGTAAGAATGAGTTTTGTTTGATTTCTAATCTATACATCATCTCAGTTTGTACTTAATAGGAACTTTTGTCATGAAAGCTATAGAGTTATATTGTAAAAGATGCTTTACAAATCGTTGTCGTAAGTTGAGTCGGCTGGATTTTATTGTGCAAAGGTCTTTTGGTTCAGATTGCCAAGTTAAATTTATTTGGTAAATCCGGTAATCTTGTGATTTGCTTGACATGAGTTTTTGTTGTCATTCACCCTCATCTTAGCCAATTAGTTTTATTTTCTTGCCTCTTTTGATTCATGCCTGTTAAACTCTTCTTTAGATTTTTGGTTTTGTGCCAACCTTTTAGTTTGCCTCTGAATGTCTATGAAAGAAAATTAGGGATCATGTTCTCTTATTTTATAATCTCTGTTTTATCCTTATTCTTTAAGGGGTACTGTGTGTCATCATCCCCTGCTACAAACTCTCCCCTCAGAAAAGTAGTTTTTTAATTGAACTAAAGTTTATATATGGAGGAATGGATGATCAGAAGTCATTTGGATTTCGGCAAATGCATACAACTGAGTAAGCAGCTCCCCAGTCCACGACAGGGAACATTTCCACCTCGCGGAAAGTTCCCTTGTGTCCTTTCCCTTCACTCAGGCTGCCCAAGGCAATAAGTATAGTGCTTCCTTGCACTGCAGATTCATTCTGTCTGCTGTACAAGTGCCTGTGAATGGAATTATACAACATGCGCTCTTTGGTTCAACATCATTTCTGTAAGGCCCACTCAGACTTTTGGGAATATCGTCAGCATTTTATTTTGGGGTAGCATCCATTTGTTTACTTTCTCCCGGTGGACTTTTGGATTTTTCCAGGTCATTTATTGTGACTAATGCTTTGATGAACATTCTTCTTTGGGGGTAGAACTGTTATATTTTTTATTTTTAAACAATTGTATTACGTGTGCGCAGCACATGATAAGTGCACTCGTCATGGAGAGCTGGTACTTGTACTTAACACATCTTAATGCTTTGCTTCCCCGTGCTCTCTCTCCTCTCCCCTCTCTTTCCATCTCTTGGTTCCCTTCTCATTTCCGAATTTTGTGAATGTGCACTTCCGTTTCCCTTGGATAAAGGCCTGGAGTTGGTGCACATCAGACTACGTATTTAACTTCGTAAGAAACCCACGCACGTTTTTTTCAAGAGACGTGTTATCACTGTCCCACCAGCAGAGTGCGGGCGTCTGCAGTTCTCCCACATCCCCACCACCACTTGCCAGGACCGTCCCTTTAGTATTAGATGTTCTAGTGGGTATGACGTGCTGTTCTGTGATGTAAACGTTCATCTCACTGACGTTGAGCACATTCTCGTGTGCTCATTGGCCGCTGGTGTCTGTTTTTTTCGCTACGTTGTCTCAGTCAGTTAAGTATTTCCTCAGCGCCCTGGTTTTCCTCGGCGTTTTGGACATACAGAGTTTGTGAACAAATGAGTCTGCTCACAGCTCAGTCAGTAACAGTAATGTAGCATTGTAGAGCAGCGGCTTTTTAATGGAAAAATCAAACAAAAGCAAAATCTCACAACAGAATAATGAGAGGATAATAATTAATTCGCTATCATTATTATTTTCTGTAGAGTAGTTTGCTCAGAGAGAAAAAGATTTTGTTTTATCAAGAAGAAACAGATAATAGCACAGAACTTTCTTTTCAGGGAACTAAGAGAAACTAGTAGTGTAAATTAAATGAATTAGCATATATGTTAATATATTTTTATACAACAGAATAAATAATTTAGAGAATTATTTTAACTTCTCCATACTTCCTATTTACCTGTCTTCTGTTTTGCTTTTTACATGAATATATATATATATATTATTTATTTATTTATTTTTATTATATAAGAGAAACCATGCACTATTTAAACTTGTGTGCATCTGACTTATTTAACTTAGCATTATGTTCTCAAGTTGTAGCCTCTTACCTATGCATGCTGCACGTTTATCTCTATGGCGGAGTACTCAATTGTGTATAAATACGAAATTTTTGTTATCCATTCTTATGTTGATCGGTACACTGTGTATGTTGTTTCCAAGATCTAGCTATTATAAATTGTGCTGCTATAAACGTGGGTCTATGTGTATCCCTGTAATACAATGATTTTAACTCACTGTAGGGAAGATACCTAGAATAGGGAGAGCTGGCTCAAATGGAATTTCTACTTTTGGTTTTTTGGGCGTGTCCACACTGATTTCCTTAGTGCTTGTACCAGTTTAATTCCCACCAACCATGTAGAGGAATTGCCTTTTCCCCACATTCTCACCAGCATTTGTTATTATCAGATGTTTGATGATAGCTATTCTTCTAGGGTAAGATGAGTTCTCAGTGAAGTTTTAATTTACATTTTTTTAACGGCCAGCAATATTGAACATGTTTTCTTGTATTTATCGGCCATTTTCACTTCTTCTGAGAAGAGTCTGTTCATTTCTGGTGCCCTTTTTTAACTGAACCTTTTATTAGGGGGAGTCTGTTTTTTGTGTTCTTTATGAATGTCAGTCCTTTATCTGAGGAATAGCTGGCAAATTTTTCCCATTCTGTAGGTTGTCTTTTCACTCTGTTAGTTGTTTCCTTTGCTGTGTGAAGCTTTTAAATTTGATATGATCACGTTGGAGGTGTTCAGAAAACGCTTTCCCACACCTGTGTCGACAATGGTTATATCTATTTTATCTTCGAGAGGATTAAGTATTTCTGTTTTGCATTTACACCTGTGAGAAGCTGCCACCCTGTCTTTCTGTCAAAAGTATATGAACAGGGCCGGGGATTTAGCTCAGTGGTTCGGTGGCCTGGCTTGCAAGCGCAAGGACCCAAGTTCAATCCCCGGTACCAAAAAAAAAAAAAAAAAAAAGTAATATGAACAAGAGGGCCTCCATCTTAGACTCTAGTCCATGCCTAGCGGCCTCTCCTGACCACATCAAAATTATGGAAACAGCCTGCTTAGTTTGAATTCTGGAAACAGCTACAGACCAAGATACCTTACCAATAGCCAAGAAATTTCTGTTCCCCTCACCCTCTCCCCTCCCACTCTTCCTTGGGTGCTCTCCTTGGCTGTCTGCTTAAATCAGCCAACTGAATAAACTGTAAGCTTTGAATTTAGCTGTTGTGTTTAAAGGCTAGCTGCTTCCCATGAGTGAAGGCTTAAAAACCTCCCTTCCCCACCACTTGGCCTGGCGCACCTGCTACCTTGTGTCTGAGTACCCTTGCACCTTTCAATTTGAGTCTGAGGGCTCATTTCTAACAGATCTGTGATCCATTTTTATTTCAGTTTAGTACATGGTGAGATATATGTATCTAGAATCTTCTGTCTGTGGATACCAGTTTCCCAGCACCATCTAATAAAGAGGCTATTTTTCCTTCAGTGTATGTTTTTGGCCTCTTTGTCAAACATCAAATAGCTGTATGTGCCTGGGTTGTTTTTGCTTCTTATATTCTGTTCACTGATCCATATGCATGTTTCTGTGCCAGTACCATGCTGTTTTAATCACCATAGCTTTACAGTATAATTTCCAAGTCAGGGATTGTGATGCCACCTGGTTTGCCTCTGTTACCTGGGATTGCTTTTGCTATTGTGGGTCACAGGATATTGTTGATAGAACATTCTCACAATGCACATGGAACACGGATCAACCACAGTAGAAAGAAGCTCAGCAATGAAAAAAAGTGGCCGGAATGAGGAGTAGGAGAGATTGTGAATATGCTGGATCATTTTCCTGCATTATCTGACAGGGGACCAGTGAAGGCCATGCGTGTCAGACAGGTCTAATGGTGTGGCAAACATTACCTGACTTATTTTTGTTGCTGTTTTTAGAGCTACGTTAACTCTTTAGGGCTTAAATGTTACTATGATTATATCTTCCTTAACTGCAGTTTCAAAGCTTCGGAACATTGACATTGGAATATATCTGGATATTTTCATTGTATTCGTTTCTTAGGTTTAATGGTAAGAAGAAAGAAACAGCAAATTGGTTTGGAAGTGAGCTCTTACTGGGTTATTGTGATTGTACCCCTTTCAAAGCTGACTGTATGACAGGCTGAGGTTATCTCTGGTAATTCCACTGCCCCTTTAAGCTAATCAATCAATCTCTTTCCCTCTCCCTCTTTCCCACCTTCTTCCCTGTCACAGTGCTGGAGATTGAACCCAGGGCTCTCTACCACTGATACACATCCCTAGGTTGATCTGTCTGTCTGTCTGTCTGTGTCTGTCTGTCTGTCTGTCTATCTATCTATCTATCTATATATCTATCTGTAGTTTGAGACAGCATCTCACTAAGTTGCTCAGATGAGACTCGAATTTGTGGTCCTCTTTCCTCGGCCTCTTTAAGTGCTGAGATTACAGACATGAGTGGCCATGCCCTGATGTTCTTTCTGTCCTCCTCCAGGAAGAAGCCTAGTGGTCTCTCTCTGAGAGTGGCTGCTGTTAAAGAACAATCAGCTTATAGGTTAATTCTCACTACAGTGATGATTGGTGTTTTAGTAATCTACCCCTTTTAGGTGTGTTTGCATATTTTAAAAGATGTTAGAGCTGTTTTATTGAAGAATAATAAACTTTAATATTGAAATTTCAGGAGCTGTGTTTTCTCTGTGTGGGATTTATTTTAAGAACTCCAGATCTGTTCTCTTTCCCTCTTTGTGGGAGCATTGTCTTTTCAGTTTGGAGCTTAATCTGGGGCTCAGCTTAAGCTTGTATATTGCTTTTGTATCATACTGTAGCAGCCTTGTCAAATACAGAGGCTGTGATGCTGCCTCTGTGTGTGTGTGTGTGTGTGTGTGTGTGTGTGTGTGTGTCTGTGTGATTATATAAGGGGGGAATGGGGTCTCCCCTTTGTACACCAGCCACAGCTGTGGCAGGAGCTCAGGCCTGGCACTGTGAGCATGTGGCTGTGTTGGATTTGTTCCTGGCAGCCACTTTAGAGTCAGATTTTTCCCAGCCATAAAATTACACCAGTCTTATAGAGATGCTGCAGGTGCAGCAGTGTGATGG